TTGTGTCAGCGAATAAAGGTAAATAACAGAACGTTCGTCTTCTGTTGTTATCTAGCAACTACGTGTACGTCAATACAGCAATGTGGCGTGTAGAATCAAACCCCAGGTGCAATGTGCTTGGCGCCAATTTTCGTGTTGGTCGGCCCCTACCTGTCCTTCCTGGTACCATGCCTTCTGCTATAGTTTTTTCCAATCCATTGTGGGCTTGATATGACCAAAATATTTCAGCTTCCCAGACAGGATGCTGTTTATTAGCAAATCTTCCTTGATATTCAAATCTTTCAAGATCTCAGTATTTCTCCTCTTTTTCGTCCAAGATATTCTGATCATCTTTCTATAGCATTTCAGCTCTAAAGCCCCTATTCTCTTTCTTAAGGACTGGAAGATAGTCCACGACTCACATCCGTATGTTGCTACAGAGAAGATGCATGCTCTGAAAATTCTAATTATGATCTCCTTGCTGGTGCTTAACCAAAGACTTTTAAGGCTGTTTAATCTTTGCACTGCTATGGCCATCCTCCTTTTAATTTCTGTCAAGCAGTCTCCATTGCTATTTATTATAGAGCCTAGATATTTAAAGTTTTTGACATTTTGAATTGCTTCACCATTTATTGTTATGTTTGGGTGACAGCCAGTTTTATCTGTGGAAATTTTTTTTTGTTTTCTTTAAATTCAAGAACAGATTTTGATCTTCACTGTGCTTTTGGACGGACGATATTAAATTTTCTGTTTCCTTTACGCTGTTCGAAAGGTGTAGCGAAGTTCCGGTATAGGGTTGCCACCAATTTTGAGCGGATCATAACTGTCACAAGTCTGGTCATTTTTGACATTTCTCATTTCTATATATTGAATAGGTATGGTGAGAGAATGCACACCTGCCTAACTCCCTTTTGCACTTTGAACCGATCAAATGTTTCACCAGCTACTCTGATGGCTGCTTGTTGTTCTTGATAAAGATTTTCAATTAAAAGCACCAAATGCTCTGGAAACCCCATACTTCTCATAAGAGTCCACTATTTTTGATGTTGTAAACAATCGAATGCCTTGCTATAATCAATAAAACAAGCATACAGATCTACCTTGTATTATCTACATTTTTCAAAAATTAATTTTATATTAAAAATGTGATCCCTCAACCCTGTCTGTCATGTAGCTCATATTGTAATTTTTTTTCAGTCCTCTTCATAATATTTCGTAAGTTCATTTTGCTAGTATGACTTATTAATGCGACGTTGAGCTAGTTAGAGCATAGTTTCAAATTTCCTTTCTTTGGAAGGGGTATCTGGACTGTTCTTTTCCATGCTTTAGGCCAAATAGCACTGTTCCAGATCTTCGTGCACAGTGCATGGTAAATTCGGACGCTGGACTCTCCTTCTGCTTTAATAAGTTCTGCTGGTATTTCATCGCAACCTGGTGACTTTCCTTTCTTCAGGCTGTGTATTGCTGATCGTACCTCATCCAGTAAAGGCTCTGGTTCTTTTTCATAACTTTCACAAGGTGTTTTTGAATTACTCGTCAGATCCTCATACATTTCTCTACAGTATTCTTTCCATCTTTCTAATATGTCTTTAGTTTCCATTAACTTGTTACTGTTTTTATCACTTATTACATGAAAAGTAGCCCTGAATTCGCCTTTAAATGTTTTTATTTATTTAAACATGTATCTGTCTCTTCCTTGCATCTGAAGTTGTTCAATTCTATTACAGGTATTCATAATAAACAGTTTTTTAAATATATGTTTGTCTGTCTGTCAGTCCGTCCATCCAACCACCCATCCATCCATACACACACAAACACATACATGCAGAGAGATAGATAGACAGAAGCTCATAAAATTTTTATATATAAGAGAGGGGGAAAAAGAGAAAGACCGACAGAAAGAAGGAAATAAAGGAATAAAGAGAGATATAAATAAATACAAGGTCCAATAATTAAGTAATGAGACTGATTTTATTACGGCCAAGAGAAAAGTATCATATATGAAGCAAAGCATAGAATCTAAAGAGGCAACCTTCATCTATGATCTGGCAACTTTGCATCCCTGCCTGATAAGCAGACGACAAACAAGCCGCCATTATTTTGACGTAGTTAGATGTGCATTGTTACCAAATCAGCATAGAGTAAAAAAGCTAACATTAAATTATGTTTAAAACTTAAAAAAAAGCGCCATTGAGACAGTTGAATTGACGCGACAAATTTGTGGGAATAAATGTTTATCTAGTGCACAGATTTTAAGTTGATACTCACGATTCAAAAGTGGTGTGGACATGATTACTAATGCAACTAGACCTGGACGCCCAATTTATGTTTGTAATGATAGACTCATTGCAAAAGTAATAGAACGGATACAAGAAGGTCGTTGTTTTACTGTGATGATTATGGTAGATAAATCTGGTGTTTATAGAGAGACCCTTCGTATACTTTTAGTGCAAGATTTTAGCAAGAGAAAAGTTCCTTACAGGTTTGTGCCGCATTCGTTATCTGATGACCAAAAACATCAGCGGGTTGAGTACCAATAAGACATCATTAAAACAGGAATTTATGGCTGAAAAACAAGTGTGTGTTCTCAACCATCCACCGTATTTCCCATATTTGTCTACCTGTGATAATTTTTTACTAGCTGTACCCGGCCACGCATTGCTGTAGTCCAGAATGGTAAAATTGGAAAAGAAAGACAAAAGCTTTCAGCTAACAGTGTCTGTCATACCCCCCCCCCCCCTTTTTCCCCCCTCCTATCAACCAAGTCATATCTCCCTCCCTGAAGGATTGAAAAATCTTCCCTGGGGAAATTATAAAAACAAAAAAAAAAAATAGGTAAGAAATGAGAACTATAAAATATTGTTTTAAGCTCCCTCAGTTAATAGTGTGTGGCAACAACCCCCCCCCCCCCACCCCCCCTTCATTCCACCACTAATCATATCCTCCTTTCTGCAGGATGGGAAAGTCGTCATCTGACGAAATATTGTAACTAAACTGAGCTTGAAATCCCTGTCCACCCAGACCAAAATGTGTAGCATTAATTTGTACTGAGAAGTACATGTGGCAAGTGTAACAGTTACCACATCACCCATGCATTACCAGGCTTCAGCTACCACTACCACCACCACCATCCCAACAACAATAACAACAACAAAAACTGTCACTACAGTATGTGTAGGTCGGTGTAGCTAGAGGAGTTAGCGCCGCATGCTGTGGCCACGGATGTTTAGTTTAATTTTGCCCCCGACATCTTCATCACCTAAACAGTGATGGAACCCACACAAAAAAAGTACACTATACTAACAAAAAGCATGAAAAATACCCCGCACATGTCATCTCTCCCTCTCCGAAGGGAGATTTCTAACTGGCCTTGGCATCTGTGTCCACCCAAACTAAACTGGACTATGAGCCGTTTTAGTTAACAGTTTCTGTCATCGTCGAATAGTTTTGACCGAGAAGCGTCGCAGGGAGGCTAACTGAGACTTTACTGAAATCGGATGTTTTTGGGCGAAAGGCGCAGATATCGAAGTCTAGCTGTAAACTACAACACAGCGCGGCAACCACCATTTTAAGGGGAAAGGAACAATTATCACCCAGCGGGGAATCGAGCACCGGTTATCTTCGTGAAGGGTAGACTACTTACAACTATACTACCGAACACTGAAGAGTTTAGGTCCGATCTCACAGCCTAGCTGTAAACCACAACACAACGTGCCAACGGCCCTCTCGAGGGCGAACAGTGATTACCCCTGACATGAACATTGAGCATCACGACGCCGCTATCGCAGGCTAGCTGAAAACCCCAAAAAACGAAAAAAGACGTAGATATCGCAACCTAGCCATACACCTCAACACAACGTGCCAGCCGCCCAGTTAAGGGCAAAAAGATTATAATCACCTAGCGGGGTATCGGACGCTAGTCACCCGCATGATAGGCAGATATCGCAGCCTAGCAGTAAACCACAACACGTGGCAACCACCATTCTAAGGGAAAAATAACAATTATCACCCAGCGGGGAATCGAACACAGGTCATCCGCGTGAAGGGTACAATACTTACAACTATACTGTCGAACACTGAAGAGTTAAGGTCATATATCGCAGCCTAGCTGTAAACCAAAACACAACGTGGCAACGGCCCTATCGAAGGTGAACGAAGATTACCTGTAACATGACCATTGAGCATCACGTCGCCGCTATCGCAGGCTAGCTGTAAACCCCAAAACCAAAAAAGGCGTAGATATCGCAGCCTAGCCATAAACCACAACAAAACGTGCCAGCCGTCCAGTTAATGGCTTAAACAACAAATTTATATCACCTAGCAGGGAATAGAACGCGAGTCACCCGAATGATAAGCAGAATATTTACAACTACGCTATCAAACACTCAAGCAGATTTTGGAAATGAAATTATATAATAATGCAAAGTTCAAAAAGAGCTCAGCAGTCAATAATGGCCGATCAACTAAAAACAAATCCGGACCGAAACGAAACAAATAAGGATTTGACCGTTGCTGGAGCTACGTCGTTCGTGGTTTGTGCGATTTTCTGATTAAAAAAATCACGCTTTCAGTCAGTGGCAACATTGTGTGAAAAATTGAAAGCAATCGTTCAGTGGTGTGTGAGTCTATAGTTAACAAACTCGGAAAATTAACAATTTTTTTTTTAGATTCCCAAAATTAAAGAAACCATTGAAAGGACGCCTCTTTGGCGTTATGGATGACATCCAAAGGGCCGTAACATGGACTTTATTAGCCATAGCAACAGAAGAACTACAGAAGTCGTTCCAGTGTTTGTTAGATCGTGCTACTCACCGTATCAATGCACGAGGGGCTTACTTTGAATAAAATACCGGTTATATCTTCAACTGTTGAATATTTTAGTTTTTATGGAATTAGTCTCATCACTAAATTGTCTGACCTGGTACAATAAATAGCTAGAAAAGAGGGCTGGGTACGAAAGAGAGAAAAAAACAGAGAGATTTACAGATACATCTATGGTACTGTTGACAACACAAACTTACGTTATGCTCACGGATCACTTTCCTGATGTAAAAGTAGAAGCTGTACACCAAATGTTCGTCGGAAGATATCGTCTTCCAATTGCAACCACAGCTGCCATCTTGTGGGGCACTAAAGGCCGTCTCGCAAAATTGCCAGTTGGACACTGAACACGTCTGTCAACAAAAACATTCTGTAGCCTGGAAGCTGCACTATATCATGTAATGTCTGCCGCATAAAAACCAGGGTGACCTTGCGTGCAGTTTTCCCTACAGTCCGGGTTTTTGTTACGGTGTGTCTGACTGAACAACTAGGAATTCTCGTTAATGATACACGAAAGAATTAACCTGGTAAATAAAACAGTTTTACTCAAACAAAAGAGAAGCATTACAAGGATGTTTAGTCTAGGGTATAAAATATGGGTTAACACCTAATGATTTCGGAGGAACCGTCGTGGGCAGATTCCTAATTGGGGATGATTGGAGGTGGAAGGTCCAAACCATTATGGCTAACAATATATACGGGAAACAAACCTATTAAGTAATAATAAGCATGCTCGAACATTAGAGAACCAAGTTCTTTATTAATATCTTACCCCAGATGACGTCACACGACACTCCAACATTTTAGAGGGTGGTAGGTCTGGGTTTCCCGGCTCTCTGATGCTTTCAACGACCCTAAAACATCAAGAACTGGCCCTAACCCCAACCCACATACGTCCTATGAGAGAGTGCAGACTAGGTCCCGAAACTGTACGCAGCCTAGGTCTCACGACTGCATGCAGCCTATCTACCACCCCCTGAAATATTAAACTGCCCCGGGACCTGTGGATTTCCCCTGTTTCGGGTAGGATATTATTAAAGCACCGAGAACCATCCGAGGATGTTCAATCTTCATCCTGTAACACTGCGTGTCGTTTGGTCACCAGTTGCTGTTGACTGTCTGATTAGTTCCCTCCACCTCTGGCGGTCAGATACGATGGCTGTCACGGTTGCATACCTAATGCCTGTGCAGTCGATCTGTATCCAAGTCTTTCTTGGGCTGCCTCTTCTCCTCTTCCCCCTTACTGCTTTCTGTAGTGTCGTGTTTGAGAGGACATTAGATCGCACCAAATATCCGTACTATTGCATAAAAGAGGTTCATATATGCTAAAGTGAGGAGTAATTAAACCTCGCATTTGTGATGGAATTTCTTTAATTAGGATATGTTAAGAATCGGTAGGTAGGCCAAACAAGATAGGGAATAGGGAAAGGCGACGAGAGAAGATTATTGACAGCCTTTTTGCATAGCACGGAGGTGTGTCAGCACACGAACTAATACATGCTGCAGGCGATCGCATGTTGTGGAGAGATATGATCGCCCACGCCGGTCAGCAAGGCACTTGAAGATGATGATGTTAAGAATCTTTCTGAAAAATCGCATTGCCAGTGCTTGTATCTTCTTTTCGAGTTCAGCTCTTAAGGTCCATGTTTCATGGTCATTTGTAAAGGTAGCA